TTCTACTTTCTCCAATAAGTTTTCCGTTTTTGTTGGTGTGAAATTCGGTACAAGTGATCGTCGGGGAGAGTTGTGTGTCAGTTGAAAGCAAAGGCCTTTTGATAGTCATAAATTTGATGAATTTTATATTAGTTTAGTTATAATAATAAAAACTTGCACCTATGACTTCTGAGTGCTATATTGAATTAGCAAACAGATGTATAGATTCTAATCCTCAGGAATAATTTTATTATGCTGTATTTTTTTTTTTAGAAAAAAGGTACATAAATTCTGTAAATGGTTGTATTATTGCTTCAGAGACCTTTTGATAATAATATTTATAAAATTTGATATTGGTCTAGCTATAAGATTTGCTCCTAGGTCCCTCAAGTGCTACACTAAACTGGCAAATCAATACATGAACCCTGATCCCAAAAATGATATTACTATGTAATGTATTTTTTTTTTTCAGAAAAATCTTTTGTAAAGTATGTATATATATAAATTATTATATCATTATTTTAGAGGCTTTGTTAGATCAAAATTTATGCCAACTGCTAATATTTATGAATTGAGTATTATCTAGCAGAATATTAACAGAACAAAGACCTTATAATGGCTATAAATTTAATGACTTTTAATGTTAGTTTGCTATAGAGATGCATCTGATTTTTGCTTCTGAAACTTTTGAATTAATATATAGATCTTGATTTTTTAATTATATAATGTTTTTTTTAAAAGAACCAATATATTGTTATAAGTTATTATTAACTTCTATATTAAGAAATTTATTATGAACTAATTAAATCATCATTTCTTTTAAATTTTTTAAATTGCAGCTTAATATTTTTTTTTTGAAGTTCAATAAATCGATTATAATATATAAGCAAACTAACTGCAATTTTAACAATAATATCTTTTTATCTATTAATTTAACTGATACTTCTACTCAAAAAACTAGTGAAAAACCAAAATCTATTGTATAGAGAACACATATAAAGCAAAAAAGACAAATTTCTAAAGGTCACTGAACTGCAACATGCAATTATTGTAGCCAATATTGGTATAAAGGTTCTCCAATAGCTCTTGAAGATTATTTGGCTAATTCATACAATAATATACTATTAGATGTTCATAATCAATTTTTAAACTGATTAATGGCAAAAGCATTTGAAGTTAACATGCCAAAAAAGCAAAAACTCAATTCAAATCAGACACAACTTTCAGATTTTATTAAAAGTATAAAATTAACACCTAAACATATTAAGGATATAGATAGAGCATTGCTAAAAGCATTTGTTGTCTATAAAGTTCTATTTCATATTATTTAAAATTCATTTTTCATTAAATTGTTAAAAACATTACATCTAGCATATGAACCTTCATCTAGAAATGTTTTTTCTGGTTGCTATTTGGTACAAGAAATAGCATTTATTAATTAAGCAGTAATCAAAAAATTTAGTTTAACAAATCTAACTATAGGTAATGCAAAATTATTTAGCTTTATTAGTATAATTTTTTTTATTATAAAATATGATTAATAAGCTTTTATTTATTAGCATGTGATGGTTAGAATAATTCTTCAAATGATTCTATCTGGAACTTTGTTATTTATATTTCAGATCATTGTTAATATTTGTGATGTCTTCAGAATTTGTTTAATGAAAGACATATTTAAGAACTTTTGGCTGAAAAAATATCAAATATTTTGAAAAAAATTGGGTCTGAAAAATTCTTAGCCATTATAACAGATTCAGATGCTAATATTAAAGCAGCACACTATATTATTGCAGAAGAATATTTAAATATTTTGAATATCTGGTGCATTTCTTATGCAATTAATTTTATTTTAAAGAATATTTGCAAGACATTATTTGCAGATCACATGCTTAAGTGTTGTAATACCATAGTTAGCTTTTTTAAAAGAAATCATCTTGCAGATAATATAATCTAAAATATTACTAGTTGGTATTATTAAATAAAATTTTAAATATTTTATTTTTAATTATAGGAAGTATACTTAAAACTTTAGCTGAAGAAAATTTAATTAAAGAAGAAGGCCTAAAGCAATAGGTAGATACCCATTAGCATACTATATACAATTATGTAGCTTTAATTATTAGATATCAAGTACTTTTAGAAATAGTAAGCTAAAAAATATAATATAGTTTATTTTAATTGTTTAATCTATTATTAATTTATTATTTTATAGATTCATAATAGGGATATTATAAATGTTTCAGTACAAACAATACTATGCTCAAGGGCCTTTTTTGATAATTTAAAATGCACTAGTATTTGTACTTCATCCTATTAAGCTAGCTATATTTACTCTTGAATTGCAAGATTGTTCACTAGCTAATTGCTTTATTGGTTTAGTTTGCTTGAGTGTAGCAATTAAAAAACTTTCAAAAAATGATTATCATAATTTTTAACAACAAGCAATTGCAATTTTTAATAAAAGATTTGTTGAATTTGATGATAATATATATATTTTATGCTTTTTTTTCATCCCAAATATACTAGTAATTATTTATTTTACTTATAATTTTATTTACTTTATATTTATTAAAATTTATTTAAAATTTAGATGTATAGGCAAAAGAAACTTTTTGATATATTCTTTTTGCAGCTAATACTTATTATGAAAAAATAGATAAAAAGCCAAAAGAAAGAACAATACTAATGTCTCAAATGAGAAGTTATTAATCATGTGTTCTACTATTTAATGAATCATTTGGTGATAATGAATTTCCTTTAATCTAGTGATCTTCACTTGAAAATAATTTTTTAAAAAATTAAGATCATATATGTCAATTAATTTGTAAGCTATTTTTTATAACATCACATGCAGCTGAATATAAAAGAATTTGGTTAATATTAGAGTAGTATTATAGTAAACATTGTACATATCTTTTTTTAAACAAAATTGAAAATATGCAGAAGCTTTCTGCTTTTTATTATGCAAATTTAAAAAATGAATTGCCTTATTTTTCTTCTAATGTTGAAGATTTATATAAAGCATTATCTAATATGAACTTTCTTGATAATGATAATTATGACAAAAAATCTATTAATGAAGAAAGAACTGTAAATAAAAGGTCTATTGATGATAAGAATAATTCTATCTTATTGGAAGAAGATATGCTTAAAATTGAAGAATTATTGAATCTTGATGCAATTAGTTTTATAAATAGTTTAGATAAAATAATTGTTGATACTAATTTTGAATTTTTTAAAGAGAAATATATTGTTCAGAATAATGATATTGAGAATAGTAAAGAGGAAAATTTGAATATTAAAAAAGTAATTGATGCAATGTTAGAATAATATAATTTGATAATGTAAATGTTTTCTAGTATTTAGTTACTAAAACTATTGAAGATTAGAATTAATAAAGTGATTTAGTATTTTGATATTAATCTTTTATATACTTAGTCAAAATCAAAAACTGATTATAATCAATGTATAGATTTAATTAATCAATTTTATTGCTTATATTATTGCTATTGATTAAAAAAGTAAAATATATAATAGTTTACAGTTTTGTACTTAGATTTATTAATAACTTATCAAACATTATAACTTATAAATATTACTAGTATAATTAATTAAATTAGAAATTAGAGTTAGTTAATAATAAATTAAATAGATCAAGATATGTAATTAATTATATAAGCAAAACAATTATAATGTTTATATAGTAATTAGTTTATAGTATTGAAAGTAATTATATGAAAATAAAATAATATATATACAATATTAAGCAGATAATAAAAAATTTTCTGTTATTTGAGTATACTCAATATTAATGTTATCCAATAGTTAAATATAACTATATGATGTTTTTTTCTGTAATATTTTTGTATAAATGATTATGTATAACATATGAAAAATATCAAGACAAAAAAAATTTATATAATTATATCAATACTAGATAACAAGACAATAATAAATAATATAACATTAATAATAAATAATACATTAATATTCAAATAAATAAAACTTTAAAAATCAGTTTTTATTATAATTTGTAAAACTAAACTAAAGTTTATTATAAAAGTAGAAAAACAGCTTTTTTATTTTTTTATTTTTTTTTTTCAGTGTTAAGATGACCTCTTTGGTACTAGCTTTTTATTAATACTTATATCAGGTACATGTTTTATA